AAACCAAATAAGGAAAAACAACAAAAACAAAAATATATGACATTAGAATTTTAATTTTAATAAATCTTTTTTTAGTAAAGAAGTCACGTCTTATCTTTTGAATAATTTTCATTTCTTTGAGGTTGGTTCTTGTATTGTTAAAGTTTGAGTTTGCAAAAATTAAAAAATAACTAAAAAAAAAAGCGAAATAGTTCATTGTTTTAACAAATTTACGCTTGATTTTTCATCATTTTCTTTGATGTTATTTTTTCGCATTGTTTTTTTCTTATTTTTATTTCTATAAATATTTTTTTAAATTGTTGTTGTTTTTATAAAAAAAAAAAGCTTAAAAATAATGTTTGCTTAGCGTGCCTAAAATTCATTAAAATTACAATATTTTATAAAAGTTTTAAACCATAATTTTTGTTTTTATTATTTGAAATTTTAAAAACTAAATAAGAGTTGAAATTATTTATTTTATAGTATTGTTGTTTTGAAAAAATTATTTACTTTTAATAAAAATTCAAATTGTAATTTAATAGCTGTATATGATTGGATCTGATTTTGATTTGACAGGGCTGGATTTCTAAATAAATTAATTAAATCATGAATACTTATTGAAATGTTCCAATTTTTACAATATCCCACCAGGACTACGATTTCCATGAAATAAAAAATTTTTCCTCAGTGTTGTCCAATGTTCGAGAGTATCAGTATAATTAGTTTAAAAATGAAGGTGGATCAAAATAATGTCGGAATATATGGAAAATTAAATGAGATAGTGGAAAACGGATTGCATATTTTAGAAGATCATCTTCAGGTAGCTATGGAAGTGTTCTTAAATCAAAAATCACGAAAATGGCGTATTGATCAAAATTTTCCTTAGGTTGTGATTTAAATAAATGCACAACTCCAAATAGAATATTTGTATATAGAATGAATAGAGATTTAGAAAGAAATAATTAAACTACATTGGCCGAGTTGATCAGATAACAATTAAGGTGATCAATAAAATTCTGAAACGTATTATGAATGGAAAATTATCCATATTCCATTGTAAATTTATGATACTAAGAACATTATTTAAGAAAAGAACATGTCTAGGTTAATATTCTTATAAACTGCCTTAAAATAATCTATGCAACACCATACATTTTCCAAATAGAAAATTAATTTATTTTTCGCAATATTCAAGGCACTATTATATTTCTGAAATGTATGGAGTATAAGAATTTTTTTAATTGTTCTAAATTCATTATTGCTATTCTATTGATAATTTAGAAAAAAAAAAATTAAAAATTTTTTTTTTTGTTCACAAGGACCAATTATTTTTCATTGCATTGTACCTCAGTTTAAATTTTATTCTTTTTTATATTTCTTGTTTTAATTTCTTACAAAAAAAAAAAAAGAGAAAACAAAAATTTGCTAATTAAAAATAAAACTTAATTTTAACTAAGACTAATTTTAAGGACGATAATTAAATTCTGTACTAAATTTATAAGAATTAATCTTGTTGTTCACCTTCATTTTTGCTTCTGTTTTTTTTGCTTTTGCATACATTTTGGAATTTTCTTGAAAAATTTTCTTTTGAACAATTTTTTATTATAATAAGTTTTAAGTTGTTCAAGTTCATTTAAAAAGTGAATACATTCATGAAAGAATTTTTTTTTCTATGCTATGTAGCTGCTATGTAAATGTGTAGGAACGAGTATAAGAAGTTAAGTGGTTGTTTTTTTTTATTATATGGTGAAAATAATTTTTATGATTATTTCTAAACGAAGATATAATATATGTATGTATGTATAATATTACGAGTATTTTTGTTTATATTGAATGTAATATTAAAAGAAACTGTTTTAACATTTTATATAAAATATATATGTAGGCTAATAGATGTTCATTTCTCTTAAACTATATATACAAAATTTTTGGTATAATCCTTGAACTAATAAAATTATTTGTAAAAAAAAAAAAAGAGGAGCAACAAAAAAAAAAAAAAGGTTATGTGTGAATTTGAATCAAATGTTTAAAAGAAAAGAACAAAATTGACTTTGATTTGATTTCGTGATCTAAAAAAAAAAATTGTTTGTTATATGGCATAATAAATGATGGTAATATATTGTGTATTTTATTATACATATAAATTTTAGTAAAATTTCAATTTTGTGAACATATTTGGGATCACCCTAAGAGAAACATTTAAGATATGTGAATATAAAATTTCATTACATACTTTAAAGTTAAATTTATATGGGAAGTAATTTAACATGTACATGAAATGTTTTTTAAATTGTTTTGAAATCATTTGTTGAAGCATTGGTAATAATTTTTCGTAAAAATTTAAATCAAAACTTGTAGGTACTAGTATTGTTAGATCAAGAGTAAAATAAACAGATTAAAAAATTTCATAGAATTCGAAAACAAGATACTGTTGAAAATTGCATAATGATAATTTTTATATGGTTTCTAAATTATTTTTTATCGAAATCCCATATCTTCATATTTGAAAATGTTTTAGACTTTTATTATATTGGATTCCCTATAAGTATGCAATAAAAATTTTGATTCGATTAAATATTATTTTGATAATTATTCCAAAGAAGAATTGATATAAAGCTGTACATGATGTAATTTCTCTATTACATTATAATTAACATAAGCCCAAAATGGCCCTAGTAGCTGAAGATGAAAATAATATTTCCATTTTTATAAATTATATTGATATAAATAAATAAAATAAATATTTAAGAAAATAATTTAATCTGAATTCGTTACAGTTTTCATAATTACATGCAAGAACTCGGTTTTGGTATTTAACTTACATAGAATGGCGTGATAATACCGACCCTTTGTTAGTAAAAGTTGGATTTATATAAAAAATTTAATATATTCTTTAAATAGAATTATGTAACCTGTCTGGACGCAAGGTTCTCGTTCTTATATAATAAGCACATGCACCATCGTCATGTGACACAGCTTGATATAATACGAGTATTATGGGGAATTTCGTCCAAATTCTCTTTCAAGTCTCTTCTTATATTATAGTATGTAAGTACTAAAATGAGTACTAGTACAGTAAAAAGTTTAGTGCTAAATTGCATGGAAATTGAGTAATGTCTTTTGTCTGGTAAATGAGGTAACAAGCAACTTTAGTTAACAATTCTCTTTTTAGGTAGGTTAACAATTTTCTTTAAATTTAAATAATATAAATTTAATGTAACAAATATGATTTTACTTTAATTCGAATTTATAAAAGCAGATTTTGCAATATTTCCTGCTCGAAATACTTTATAAATCTTCTTTTTATAATACTTATCGAATAATTTTTTTATTTTAATTTTTTGTGTTTTAATTAACATTTACATGTAACATATTTAGATAAATTCCTTAAGAGAACCGCGTGGCTTAGTTTAGCCACCTTTAATCGTACGCCACAAATAATCGGCGGTCTGCTGATTACGGGGTAAAGTATTAGTAAAACGGCATATTTGTTCTAATTGGGTTGCAGTAGACATGCTGTAGTGATCACGGCAGCCAAATAAAATTTAATATCGTTTTTGATTCAAATATTATTTTTCAAAAAATTGCACCCTTAAAATCTTTCTTGAAAAGCTGTAGTAGTTGTAAAAGCGTATTGTTATAAAGTTGATTTAAATTAGATGCCATTTTTTAACAATATTTTTCCATTTGCTATATATATTTTTCTATTCCCCATCATTAATGTTATGTAGGGCATTTCTGAAAATGCACTTCTATAGTTTAGAACTGCAAATCTTTCAAAAATTCATGAACAAATTAAATGTGCAGCTTTGAAAGCTCTGCATTTCTACATTTAAGAACTGCATTTTCAAATATACCCGTATTTAATTAATTTTTTAATAAAATTTATTTTTAATAATTTTTGCTAACCAAAATCAATTCTTATACAATTAAATTTAAAATAAATTTATATAAATAAATTAATAATTTTAATAAATTTTTCAAAAAATTGTATAGATTCTTATTTAACTATAAATAAGTATTGTGTAATTCAAAATCATTTTCATTTATTTTATTATATAATAATATTTTAAATATAATATATATATAATTTATATTAATTTATTATAAATTAAAATTAAATATAAAACTAATTATTATTTTGGTTTTCTTATATTATAGCAATTTTTATAAAAATTTAATAATAATAAGAATTACTTAAAATATTATAGATAGAAAATTTTGCAATAAATTTAATAATATATTTACATAATAATTCTATAATTAAGTATAATTAAAAATAATTTTAAAACAGCATTAATAAAATAATTTTTGAATAAAATATTATGAAAGCATACAATTAAATTAAAAAAATTAAATAATATATTAAAGTGTAAAAATAGTATATATATATATATATATATATATTTATATAATTTGTATTGAATGCATCCCAATAATATTTAAAATAATAATTAATAAATTAAATGGTAGAATAATAGAAATTTTAGAGAAATAAGAAGAAGAAAATAAACTTGTTTAGGAATTATTAAATTTTAAAGAATTTGCCAAGGATTAAATAAAATTGAACAATTGTAAAATTTAAAATTAAATTAAATATTTTTGATAAGATAAAAAAATTAATAAAATTTTTGAAAATAAAATAAACATGCTCTCAAAAAAAAAATTTTACTTTTACTTGTTTTTGTTTTAATTATTAAAAATTTGTTATTTTTTTTTTACAAAATGTTGTTAAAATAATAAATTAAAAATAAAAAAAAAATAAGTAAATAAATAAAAAATTTTTTTTTAAAAATTAAAAAATGCTTTGTTGTATTTAGTAAACTATAATTATTTGAATTTTTTTTTCTATATATTTATATATATATAATTTTGTTAATTTAAGAATTGTTTTTGTTTTGTATATATATGTTTAATTTTGAAATATTATATATATATATTTTTGTTTTATTTTAGTTTGAATATATTTTTTTTTTTCATATTATATAAATATTTTTTGTTTTCAAAATTATTGTACTTACTTGTTTTTGTGCCATTGCTTGCATTTGTTGGAACATTTGCCGTTCTTCTTCTTTGCCTAGAAATTAATTAAGAAAAATTATTATTAGGAGAAGAATTAACATGGTAATTTTTATTAATGTCAATTAAATTAAATCATGTTAGAGAATAAATGGTTACAGAAGCTGTAACATGTTGAAAGTGCAGCATTTTATATAAACAATTATAACAGCCTAATCATGTGTCTCGATTTTTAATTTCAAAATTTTATTCAAATTCAAATCAGAATTTTCCAATTTTTATAATGGATATTTCATTTTTCCAATAAGGATTATTGATTTTTTCAATTGATTTTTAGCATTTTTTCTCAAATTATCAATTGAACGTCTCACTTTCAAAAGGAAAGTTAATAATTTTTTTTTATACATTTTAGAAATACGAAACGAGATACGCAATACAGAACTACAAATATATGTGGTAGTTACTCATATTTTTCTTATTTGGCGAGTAAAATAGCGAGATCTCTAAATAATTAAAATTTGCAGGTTAGGAAAAAAACTTGCACCCTATATAATATTAGTTAACCCTTATATAATGTGAGGAAAAAAAGACGCATTAGAAAATTAATTAAATTTAAAATTTCTCAATACATTTTTCTCTATATTATAAAATAGCTATGCATTTTTTATAATTTTGTTATTTTATATTTAAATTTATTTCAATAAATTTCTGTAAGCGAAAATTTAATTGATAATATTACAATAATGTTACTATTTAATGTTACTGGCTATTTTTTCATTTATTTATTTAAAAAAACAGGAGGACTTATAGGATACACTTTAATTTAATAATTTGAAGTAATAGAATATTATAAAATGTTATAAAAATATTTTAAATTATTATTAATTGTGTATTTTGAATACCTATTACAATTTACCACTCAATTTAAAAAATAGTTATACTTTATATTTAATAATTATAAGATTCGTAAATTTATCATGTCTACTATAGGTTATACTATTTAAAATTTTTCATCATAGATTTCAATTAAATTAAATTCATATAGTTACATAAAAATATTATTGTTCTCTCTAAAAGAAAGGTACTTTTCTTCTACAATTGTACTCGTAATAGAAAATTTCCATTTATAAAAACATAAAATTCAAATGGAATTTTTTTACTTTTAATTACAATTAGTTTTAAAAATTTTTATTTATATTCATAATATTTATTATTTTTACATTAAAGTTTCTAATATTCTAAATTAAATAATCAAAAATGTTTACGAAACTAATTGAGATGAGTTATTAATATTTCTTAAGTTTTATAGTACATAATTGTGCACTCTAAAAGAGTTCGCCTAATTATATGCAATATTTTTGATTATAAGAAATTTATGGGATTTTTCATAAAAATAATTTTTCAAATACAAATAATTAATTTCTTAAATAAAATATATTAAATCTTGAATACTACAGATTTCTTAAAAAATTTTGAATGAGTTCAAATTTTAAACTAAATGTTTACTTTAGTATAACATTTTCGAATATATTGCAGATTAATACAAAATAAAATTATATATTTCTTAATTTAGTACAAAATTCTTAATTCAAAATCCCCAAAAATTATGATCTGTTTATTAAATCTAAAATTAAATATTAACAAACATTTTCTATTTCTATATTTTTGAAACATTTTCAAATTTTATTAACAAAAACTATACATTTTTCAAAATCTAATTGAATAGCAATTATAGTAACATTATAATAATATTTTATAACAACATTCAGTTTATAATAAGAATAAATTATTTTATATAAAAAACCCTGCACTTATGTTTATTATTCTCTAAATAATATTTTTATATAATCTTACCCATTCCTTTGCTTTGTAACATTTCAAGTAATTTTTTTATACTTTCGTCGCGTGCTATTAATGTTTGTTTTTGTGTTTCAACGCGACATTCTAAGTCTTTGATTGTTTCTCTTAAAATACCAATTTCTCTTTGTAAATGATCATTTTCAGCGTATATCGCTTCCATTTGTTGTTGCATTTCAATATTTGGTTGACGCATTCTCATTCGTAATTCTTCTTCTAATTGTCTAACCAACATTGCTTGTTTCTAAAATTAAAAAAAAAAGTTAATTGTATATTTTTAGTCTTTTATGATATAAAAATAATATTTTTATTGTATAATATGGCAGGAGTAGATAATGATACATTGGTAGGAGTATTATTATAAATTTTGTATCCAGAACAATATAAAATTTACTATAAGAATAGTGCTCACTTAAAGTAAAAAGTTGTTTAAATTTACTGTAAACCAATTGAATTTAATTAATAAATAAGAAGTTTAAAGAATTTTTACATAGAATTTCAAATGAAATCTCGAAATAAATTAATGGTATAACAAAATCATGGCCAACATTGATGGCATTCTTAATATTCAATGGGGTTTGTAAATTTAACAAAATAGGAAATATGTGGTGTTTATAACAAAGTCATTGATTTTGTTTAATTGAACTTTGAGGATGGAAACTAATTATCAAGAAATTTCAGAATTTGTTTTACTTAAGAATTTCGAAAACCCAAAATTAATAAATTTATACATGATTAAATAAAAATTTAGAACTTAAGCAAAAAGTGTAAGAAACTATATTAATTTTTATATTTACAATCAAATTAATTCTTAAATTCCAAATTAAAACAAAGTCTAATCTTCGTATGAATCTTTACATAATCTTTTTTAATTTGTTTAAAACTCTTATTGAAATCGTTATTGCTCTGAAAGACTTCTATTTTATAAAATTTTACATTAATTGAAGAACAAGATCATATCTCTCTAATTTTACATTAAAATATAATTAATTGACATTTGGATTTGTATTTTTTATTAATACCTGATTTTCGCTGCTTAATAATTTTAATTGATCATTTATTAAACTATATTTGGCGCTTTCTTCTTTTCTTAATGCTCTTTCTTTTTTTAATTCTGGTGACCAAAATGTTTTTATACTATGCATTGAGCTACCTAGTTTTTGATTTGTTAATTCTAGTTCACGTTTTAATTGTGCTAATTCACGTTGTAAGTCTGTATTTTGATGTTGCAGATCACCTAAGTATGCCCTATCCGATGATGGTATAACTAAAATTCGGAAAAAAAAATTTAGAAAAATTAATATAAAATATATACAAAAAATATTTATTAGAATTATTTTGATATTTTTTTGTTTTACCCATCGGATTCGGACTTTGCCTCGCTGATCTACCATATAATTCATCTTCTAAATATAAACCACGTTCTAATGATCGATCTCTTGAACGATCACGTGGTTCACGTATAGGAATAAATTCACGATCATGTGGATCAACTAAACCCCCACGGTCTAACGATTGATATCTTGTTCCTATATTGGAAAAAAAAAATTTAAAATTAATTAATATTTTTTTTTTTTGTATATAATAAAATAAATATATTTTTCAATTTTTTTAATATTATTCAATTTGTATGTGAAGTTTATAATTTTGAATTTATTTAAAAACATACTAGGATAATCCATTGCATGTGATATTGGTGGTCGACTTGCACTTCGACTACGATGATGCCCGCCACCAGCGGGGCTTACTGGTTCATCCATATCTCTATAATATGGGCTACCCATGGCTGCTGCAATAGAATTATGATGATGATAAAAGGAAGAGGAATAGGGACCGTAGTGCAAGGGGGAGGAATTGCCAAAACGTGTATAACGTAAGTTCCTTCCTATAAATCAAAAAATTGTAAAGAAACCAAAAACATAGAAAGTAAAAAAACCAACCAAAATTTTTCGAAAAATAAGACTTTTATTGTGTTTTTAAGTTTTTTTTTTTCAAATCAAAAAAAAAAAAAATAACTATAGAGTTTTTATTTAAAAAAAAAAAAAAACAAAAAATAATTGGTATTCAAAATAGTTATCCCAAGAAAAAAAAATATTTTTGAAAATATTTTTTATAGTTTCAAAAAAGAGATAGTTATTAAAAGAGAAAGAGACATAGAAAGATAAAGAGAGAGAGAGAGAAGTTTTTGTATTTTTTACCCAAATTTTAAGAGAAAAAAGTGTAACCGAAAAAAAGAAAATCAAAAAAGAAAAAGATTACTTAAGAGATTAGAAGGAGAACTAAAATTCTTTTCTTGTTCTAAAAATTATTGTAGAAAATCATTATAAAAACTATAAAATCAAAACAAAAGGATATTCAAAAGAATAACCAAGGATATTGTATCTCATATATTGTAGAAAAGCAAAAAAGGAAACCGAAAACAAACATTTTTCTTATATTTTTTGTGTTTAAGGATACTGCAGTTCTGTTTTTTTTGTTGTGAACCAAAAACAAAATTCTATAGGAATTCTTATTTGTTTAAATTTCTCTAATTAAATCTCCTAATTTTTTTTTTCATTTTGTAAAATTTTTTTTGTTCATTAAATATTTTTTGAAAAAATCTCTTATCTTTTGAAAATAAATAAAGGGTACCATAACAAAATTAATCTATTAATTAAAAAAAAGAAAAATTTATATAAAAATATTATTTAATTTGAAAATTATAACAGTTATAATATTAATATTAAAAGGTTGTAATCACAAAATTTAAATTTTAATTATTTTTTTTTTTTATTTTTCATACTGAATTTTATTATTATAGTATACTGATTTTGGAAAACATACCGATCGTATATAATATTTTAAGGACATTACTATAAGTAATTTATATTGTAAAAATATATATATAAGATATATTATAATATATATATATATATATAGGTTTTGTGTTTTTGTTATATAAAGTGTATAAAATTATGTCATTCATTTCAAAACAAAACCAAAAAAAAAAAATCTTATAATAGTATTTATGTATATATGTGTAAAAAATATATAGAAAAAAAAAATATATGTAGAAAAAAATTTGGATAAACCAATTTTGTATTAGACAGGAAAAAGTAAACCATATAGAACAAAAATTGAAAATTGAAAAAAAAAAAAAAACTAACTGAGAAAATTGAAAAAAAAAACAAAAATTTTTAAAAAATATGCCAGATTTTAAAAGTTTAGTAACTAAAATTAATCCAAAAGTAATATTATTTAAAAGACAAAAAAAAAAATAACAATAAGAAAACTAATTCAAATCGAGTTTTCCAATTCAAAAATTAAAATTTTCAATATTGATTTGAAACTTAATGAGTACAAGTCCCTCGAAATTTGAAAACAATATTGCAGTACCTATACATATAGAATTGACCTATACATATAGAATTCAAAAAGAGTGACGTAAAATCGTAGTAGATTTTATTATTAAAATCGACCTAATCAATTGTAATACCTAAAATCTCTTGTATTTTTCTTGAAAACAGTCATTTTTATAAAATTAGCAAAATATTGTCATTATTTTTTTATTATTTTATAAAAAAAAATTTCATGTTACTATCTTGAAAGTATCATTCTTTATTATTCTAATATTAAAATTTTTGTAATTTTGGTTTAAACGCAAAATATTTACAGGCTAATCGTGTATCTCGTTTTATCACTTCATTCTTTATTCAATTTCAAATCAGAATTTTTTCGTTTTTCTAATGGATATTTAATTTAGCCAATAAGATTCACAATTAATAGCCAATATTTTATAAAGACTCAATGAGATTCAATTTTCAATTGGATTTTTGCATTTTTTTTTTTCAAACTGTCGATTAAACGCCTCATTTTGGAAAACAAAGTGAGTAAATTTTGTATATATTTTACAAAAACGAGATATGCAATACGAAAAGATTCTTTTCTTTAGCCGAAAATTACAATGTACAAATATTTATGATAGTTACTCATATTCTTCTCACTTGTCGAGTAAAATATCGAGATCAGGCCCTTAAATTAAAAACAACTAAATTTTAATTTTAATTTTTCTTAAATATAAAATTATATTAATTAACCGAATTATAATATAATTTTAATAAATTTGATTACATTTCGTATTTTTTAGTTTTTTTTCTTGTCCCAATTTCAATTTTCAAATTAATTTTATAGATAATGAGAGTAGTTTAAATTATTCGAATTATATATGAGGCTGGTTTCTTTGTATATTATTTAAAATATTAAATTTATTTTTTAATTTTGTTATAAAATGAAAATAAAAATGATTTTATTTAATTAAAATTATTTAAAATTAAAAATGGAATCACTGTCCTAGTTAGTATAAGACCACTGTCACAGCCCATGCCTTTGTTAGTATAAGGGCGTCGCTTTTTAAAATTTTTTTGAAGAATGATACTTTCTGAGTAATGATATTAAAACTATTATACTTAAAATATGTACATTATATTATATACAGAGGTTATCATTTCATTTAAAAAAAAAGTTTTGAATTAAATTTTTGTTGGTTTGAAAATATTATTTACAAATGAAATTTTGAAAACCGGAAATTAACGGAAGGAAAATGAAATACACGCTTGTTTTTTTCTAAATACTTATATACTAAAAAATTTCAAGCGATTTTCAATTAATTTTTTGATAATGAGAAAAGCTTAAATGTAATGAATTTCCTATTTCCTTTTATTTTTTTGCTTAGTTTTACTTTCAATTTTATAATTGAAATATTTTAGTAAATTTTTGACATTATTTTACATGAGTTACTCTACGTATTTGAGTGATATTTTTCTTAATGAAACTAAAATATTTTTTTTACTATATATACAAGGCGTATATATATATAGAACTATAATGTGTATTTTTTTGCTGAATGAATTGACCATGAGATTATATTTTGCTGTTTTTTTTTAAGTTGAATTTTATTACTATAAAAGTAATGAATAAATTTTGATAAATTGGATTAAAGCCAGAGAAGTATAATATTAATTATACTATGTATATATAGAGAAGTATTAAAATTTTGATGATCCAATCAAAGAAAAATATCACAAGTATAGAAATTACGATTAAAAATTTTTTATCGTAAAATTACCGTATTTTTTTATTTTTAAAATTTACTGTAAAAATTCACTCCTTTTTTCTAACATAATTTGAAATTTACTTATCTCTCGTACGTACTTATTAGTATTTTTCCAATGATATGGGAACATCAAATTTTAATGAATAATAGATTTTGGATTATTTTACGATATTACATAATAGCTATAAACTTGTTACGTTTTTATATAAAAATAAACTAGCTTTTATATTTTAATTTTCAAAACTATCGAATAGAACGAACAAAGGGAAAATCTTTATTTTTGTACCATCATACATCATGCCAGATCGTCGAGACGGCTTACTTTGAGAATCTGATTGATATTGCTTTCTTTTTTCAAAATTTTGAAAAAAAAGCATTATCTAAAAAAAAAAAAATAAAAGAAGAAGAATTTTTTAATTAACGTAAAAAATTAAAATAATAAAGAAAAAAAAAATAATTTAAAATAAATTTTAAAATTAAAAATATTAAATAAAAAAAAAAAATTACAATAATTTGTAAATTATATAAAAATTTTATTTTTTTTTTCTTAGCATACTTTAAAATGTTTTAAAGTTATTTTATGTTAAATTTTACTCATTTTTTTCTGTAAATTAAATGTCTCCTATATTCATATAGCTATGTATGTTTATTAAAATTTTATTATTAGTCTAAAATGTGTACATAATTATACAAGAAAAAATAATGATATACAAGTATAGCATATTTGGTTTTTAGTTAAAAATTAATATAGCATGAAATTTATCAAAAATATTTAATATATGAATTATTACTGGATATTTATACTACTATAAGTGGCAGTTGGTCAAAATAACATCTACGTATCTATGAAAGTAAATGAGAACGCGAAAAACTGATTACATAAACGGAAAGATCAAACTTGAAAACCTATGAAAGTGGTCCTAACTCAAAAATCACGAAAATGGCGTAAGATATGTACGAGTAATATAAAAATCCGATAAAAAAGCAATTTGATAAGATATTTTAAGAAATACATTTTTACGATAAAATGTTGGATATCGTAAAAAATATATATATCGTAAAAATTTTACGATAATATTTTTATCGTAATTCAAATATATTTCATTCAAAATAGGAGGTTAAAATTTTTTTTACGATATATGTTGAGGTGATTTGGGTTCTCAGAGTGATCATCATTTCCAGAAAAACTGCCACATAAAATTAGATGGTGCTCATTTTCTTATACGCAGAGTTATTTTAAAACTAAATATCTAAAATAATTTTAAATTTTTATTTTTCATAGTTATTTAATTTTCGAATACGATATTACAATTAAAAATAAATAATTTTTCTAATAACTTAAATTAATTTAAAATAACTTAATTTTTTCAAAAAGTTCAATGAATTTTTCGAATTAAAATTAAGTTGTGTTGATCAATAATTTTATATAAGAAATATTTACTCGAACTTGAGTATAACGTTTTGAATAAATATTTTTGAAAAGGAACCCATTTACATTTCATATAATTTATGTGAATAAAAATGTTGCACACAGATATTACGTATTATAAGAAGTATTCAGAAAATTTCCAATATTAATAGAATTTATAAATTTTTGTTATATATATAATTGTATAAGTAATAGGAATTTATAATTATTTTAGTTATATTAAATTTTTAATCAATATGAATATCTTAAATTTTTCAATATTATTATGAGCAATATAATAATCTAGCAATTTTTAAGAGTAATAGATTATTATAAATTAGATTATGATATCTGAATGCTAAATTGAAATTGCCTTGCATATAATATAATTTTTACATAATTAAAATATAGACTACAATATTAATGATCTTTAGCATTTTACGATATAATTAAATTTAATTTACAAGAATATCATCAATAAATCATTTATAATAATTATGGTAATTAATAATGAATTAATTAATTATTTTTTTTTTTTTGATAATGAATATAATTAATATAAAAATTTTTAAATTTAATATTTTTATTAATGAATTTTTTTTTTTTCAATCACTCTAATGCGTTATTTATTAATTTGTATATCATCTATAATGCAGAAATTATTTTTCAGATAATATATGACATATATATTAATATATATATATATATATGGAGAAATGTATATTATGTACACATGTATATAGACATATTTTCTATAAAAATAAATTTTAAATGTAATTGTTCGAATTTATTTTATTAGCTTTTTCCTATAATAATAATATTAATAATGATTTTTTATATATACAAAAATAAAATGTCAATCAAAATAATGACACATTTTCTTTCTATTGTCATAAATGACATCATTTTATGTCATTGTGAGTTGCATGATATTATCATGATGTCATGACATCAATTAGCGGATGACATTTTTAATTGATTTTTTGTTTTTTACTTGTTTAGAAACTAGAATAAATTTTATTAATTTTAAAATTAATAAAGTTTTTTATTTTTTTCTTTTTTTAATAGGGAAGGAGCAGAAAATAAAGAGAAATTTTATAGGACTGTAATTATAATTTTGTGTTGTTGTGTGTATTTTGGTTGGTTTTTTTTTTTATTATTGAAATTTTTTAGCTTAATTTATTTTTAGTTCGTTTTAAAGTGTTCTTTGTTTTTTTTTTTTTTTAATTTGTATGAAATTTTTTTTTATTTTTTCTTTTGTTTTTTTTTTTTTTTTTTGAAATATGGGAATGGAACATTTCGAAAAACACTTGTATACGCAAAGGCAATATTTTTTTTTTGTTTGTTGTTTTTTTTGTACAAAAATTATAAAAACAAAAACAAAATGTATGATAAAAAATGTTTTTGATTTTTTATATTGATTTTTTTTTTTTGTAAAAAATGAAAACATAAAAGAAAAATTATGCTCGAAAATAAATTTTAAAATAAATTAAAAAGAAAAGAATAGTAGTTATGAAAGAGTTTTTTTTTTTTGAATAAAAATAATTATAGAAATTTGAATAATTTATTTTTTAAATTTTATTTTTTGTTGTTGTATAAAATTTATTTATAACAAATTACTTTTGATATTTTTGTTTTTGCATAAATTTATTTGGTTCTCTGGTGCTGTTTTCAAAAACCGGAGATGGTAAAAAAAGTTTTTCATGCGAAAAAATGCATATGTTTTTTTTTTTTTTTTTTCTTATTTATTTTAATAATATTAAATTAATAATTTTTGAATATTTTAATAATATTGTATATGGTTTAGTTTTTTGTTTTAAAGAATTTGCAATTCAAAAGCATCATAGCATATCTAAATATTATTTTATTAATTTTTAAAATATTTTGAAGAATTAATAAAAATCTTTCAAAATTTTTAAATTTTCATATTGTATAACAGTTTATATATTTTTATATTAATTAATATTTTGAAATAATATATTTAAATTTTTTTTATCCTACTTTGCTCCTGGGAGTATTATAGGGTGATATCGTAAATAGCACAAAATCTGTTTCTCACGTCATCTGATTTACTAAATAGGTGACGAGCCTGCCGTAGTTTTTTCTTTATGCTAAATAATTAAGAATTTATGGAAATATGGTAATTAGTTAATATTAATTTTTTTAATTTTTATATTTAATGTATATGTACTCGTATATTAAGCTATATAATTTTGAACAAAATTTTTATAGTGATTTGCCAGCTCTTTCTGACTGGACTATAAATTCGAGACTTTTCAGTTAAAGGATCAGTGCAATAATAGGCAATAACCAATGGTCATGTCATGTTCAAAATTATATTTTAAATTATTTTTTAAACATGATAGATTCTTAGATTTAATAATTTAGGACATGATATAAATAATATATTTTAAGATTTTATAATTATTTAAATTATAATTAATATTTTGAAATAAATGAAATTTCTTTTGAAGAAATATGGAAGGTATTAATATGTATTATACATAATGTATGTGTAGTTAATAAAATATATTTTTAACATTTCGATTCTTGATTCAGCGGTTATTCTCAGTTTCAATTAGTTAGCTGTAAATAGCATGTAAATAATCGATTTGTTAGCATTAAAATATAATGAATAAGCATTATGTGGAAACTGATTAAATTTTTTTTTTTTTAATTTCCAAACATTATTAAAATTATAAAAGTTTTGAAAAAATTTAATGCCGTCTTTATGAATAACAATAATATTTTAAGTTGATCTTTTATTTTAATAGAAAATATTTTTTCCCAGCAAGCACAATAATTAGCGGAGTAAAATACAATTTGTAACTGTAAAGCAGATATTTTTCTTTAATCAAATTTCTGGATTTAATCAGAAATTTTACAATATAATCCGGAAATATAATTTTTAAATTTCTAAAAAATTCTCTTAAAACGCATATTTCTCTTAAAAAAAAAAATTAATTTTCTCTTTAATATTTTGAAAGATTTTATAATTCTGTTCTTGTTGTTTTTTTTTTTTATTTTAGTTGCACTTCTTTGAAATAAAAAAAAAAATTGTTAATTCAAATATTTTTGTTTTTTTCGTTTTACAGGCAAGCAAAGTTCGAAAATGCAAATTTTGAAAAAAAAAGTTGGTTATTTTATGTTGGTTTGTTTTTTTCTAATTATATTTTTTGTGAAAATTTTCAAAGTGTTGCATTTTATTTAATTGAAAAAAAAAAATAAATTGTTTGAAAGCTTTTTAGCAAAAACCTTAGCATTCCTAAGAAATGAAATCAAGAGAAAAAAAAAAATCAATAAAAATAAAATTAAATTTTGTATGTTTTTAAAATAAGAAAAAAAAAATAATTATGATTTGAAATTAAAAAAAATTTCAATTTAAAAAATAAAAAAAAAAAAAAATAATGAAAGCATTTTTATGTTTTTCTACTATGTAATTTTTTTTTTTCTTCTGAATTTATGTTTTTTTTTTTTTTTTTTTAATAATTATGTAATTTTATTATTATTTTATTTAATTTATTTTTTTTTTTTTGTTTTTTGTTTTTGTAAATTCTTACCGAACTCAATTTTGGAAAGTTTTTTTTTATTTTAGTTTCCTTTTGACATATAAAAATTTACTGGCGGCAATCTTTTTAAAATTTTTGTGTTTTGCTTTTTATTTTTTTTTTGTTTGCTTGTTTTGTTTTCTTGGCTCTCTTTCTATATTAACCTTTTATGTATATATACAATTTTACAAGTAGTAGTAGTAGTAGTAGTTGGTATTGTTGTTCCTTTAATAGTTGTAGTAGTAGTTGTTGTTGTAGTTTTCGTTTTCGTTTTTTTAGTAGAAATAGTAGAATGTTGCCATATGTTTCAATTTTGTTGAATATTAATTTTTTGAGCTTTTTTAATATTTTTTTTTTTTTTTTGCGTTATTTTTGTTTTATATATAAATGTTTTTTTGATTTCGAAAATTTAATGTTGTTGTTTTATTATTATTATTTTTACTTTTGTGTGTGTATGTTATGTAAGCGATTATAATTATTTAATTTATGGTATATTGTTAAAATTTTCGCGTTCTATTTTATTATACTATGACGAAATCGTATAAATTCGAAGTTAATATTTATATAATAATAGATATTTATATATTTGATGTTCAGATGTATAGTGTTACCGTTGCACAATGAAATTTTAATGAAGAATTGCTGCCGTCGTTTTATTATTTTTATATTATTGTTTTGTTTTTTTTTTTTTTTTTGTTTTATTAATGTATATTATTGTATGCTATAGTTATGAATTTCATGTATGTTTTTTACTATTTTTATTATTTTTTGTTTTGAATATATAAAAAAAATAAAAAAATTATAATATAAAAAAATTATTAATATAGTTTTTTTTTTTTTTTTTAAATTCTTGTTCTTGTTGTTGCTGTTTGTGTTTTTTTTTTTTTGTTTGTTTGTAATTAGGCTGTTATTATTGTGTAGAGTTTCGTTTTGAGCTTAAAACTATATAAAATTGTATAAAAAGAAAAGAGAAAGAAAAAAGAAGAAGAAGAAGAAGAAAAAAATAACAATAAATAAGAATTGAAAATGAAATAAAATTAAAAAGAAATTTTGAAATTTTGTGAAAAAAAAATTTGTTATACAAAAAAAAAAAAAAACAAAAAAAAAATTATAAAAAAAAAAAATTAAATAAATAAAAAAAAAATTAAAATGTTTTAGGGAGGCGGCAATTTTTTTATTATTTTGTTTGTTCAAAATTAAAAACCAAAAAAATGAAAAATTTTGAGACAAAATAAAAATAAAAAAAAAAGTATGCGAATGAATGTTTTATTTTTCATTTTGTATTTTTTTTTTTTTTTTTTATGAAATTTTTCACATGCGCATGCGTGATTGAAAAAAGAAAAAAGAAAATTTTTATTATTAAGAATTTAAAAAATTTTTTTTTGGTTTTTTTTTTTTTTTTTTTATTTATTTTTAATAAAAATCATATTTTCTATTTAAGATTAATTTAAATAATTTTGTTTTTTTTGATTTTTGATGATTTTTGATTTTGAAAAAGAAAAAGAAAAACAACTAAAAGGTTATGAATGGAAAAATTAATAAAAATTTAAAAGCATACTTTTTTTTTTCAAATTAAATTCCAATTAGGTTATTTTTTTACAAATTTAAAACAAGATGAAATTTATTTACTAATTTTTTGTAATTCAAATTGATTTCTATTGGTATGAATGCAATCAATAAAGACAACTATAGTTGAATGAATATTTTTAATATTAAATAGGAATTTTGTTTTTTAATGGAAATTGGGTATACCTACATAATTATATTCTATATACATTACGTTTTAATTTTGGGGAATAAAGAATTAAAGTTTAATAATTAAAATTTAATAAAAGAATGTACAACTACATTTACGAAAATAAAAATTAGAAAAATAATTAAAAAAAAAACAAAAAAAAATTAAAATTAAATAATTGTAAATGTAAAATAAAAATGTTGATGATTTCTGAATTGTTATACAATAATATGAATGGAAAAAAATTATTTAAATAAATTAAAAATTAAAATAAATAAATGGTTAATAATAAAAACAAGAAATTTGACTAGATTTTACTATATGCTAAAAATGCAAGAATTTTAAGATTAAAACTAAATATTTACTATAATATCGTTTAGTTTTTTTTTTCTCTGTGAATTTAAATTTATACTACAAAAATAAAAAATGTTATACAAAAGAAAATTATAAACTAAATTAATTAAAATGAGCATAATGATTTTATTTTGGTGAATAATAAAAATATTTATATTATGATTATATTATTATTTTTTTTAATATTTGAATAATAAAGTGAGGTGAATTTGTTTTTTTTCTTAAACATTTATATATTATTTTTGGGTGAATTAAAATTGTCTTATTACGGTTCGGTTCAATTGTTTTATAATTCAGAATTTTGTTTTTATAATCAAAGATTTAATTAATTAGATTGTTTTACAAAATACGACTATTATTGAAAAAATGTAAAAATGAATAGTTAACAATTAATAAAAAATTTAGAATTACAAAATGGCACCTGTGCTTCTTTCTCTTTGAAGAAATTAAAATGCTACTTTTTGAAAAATTTTAAAAGATTAAAGAATATTTTGACATAATTTTGGCATATTTTGACATTATACGTGCTCACATTTAATATATTTTTCAAGTACGAAATAATATCAGAAAGCGCTCAGAAAATAGATAGTAAGTTACTGTTCCCACTTTCTATTTTAAAAAACTACTTATTGGTTCGGCTCTCAAAATATAACTATAAGATTTATAAATATTTAAATCTTTATCAATCATTAGTTATGCTCTTTTTAAATATTATTAAATTTAATTTATATTTAATTTTAAATTTTCATTTTTTTGTAGAAATTAATGAAATTGTGGCAAATTTGTATAGAAAATAATTTTTTAATCAATGTTTGTTAAAAATTAAAAATTTCACAGGAATTGTGAAAAGTCTGACGAATATTTAATAAAATGCAGATATATTCATTTTTGAGCAACAGCCTGTTACAAAAATAAAGAGTACCAGTTATTTCCCGCATATATTTATAATTTCGGGACAATGTGACATAGAGTTACCATCGGGGGCTTGTTTTACAAGTGATTAATTGCTTTTTATTTTCGATCTTACAATTAATTAGATTTAATGAGCTTCATCTCAAATACTGTGTGACTCACAGTATTTGAGATGAAGCTCATAAAAATCACAATTCTTGTTTTTTTTTTTGGAAATTTTTTTTCAAAAACTTTCTCGAAAATTTGTGTTGTTACATTTTTTTTTACTTTTTTGGATGCGCTTCAGTGAGAGATAAAAGTTAAGCCGATTAAGTATAAGATTTTCCTCTATTTTTCATAGTTTTGCCAGTATAGCGTGTAGTTCATACATTTTATACAAACATAACATATAATAAATATTTTTTTAACATCCTGTATATGAAATTCCTAGTATACTTTGAACATTTTTAAAAAATTTTAAAAATAAATAAAATTTAACTATTATTAATTTAAGTAATTTGTCTACTCATATGAAAATATTTTTCTCGATTTTTTTTCTATTTAACTATTTTGAGGCGGTCAATAATAATAATAGCCCGAATAATGAAGAAATGAAAAATTGTTAAAAAATTTTTATTTTGCATTATTAATACTTTTAGGAATTTAATTTAACTTCCAATACATTTATGTCTAAGAGTCTATGTCTAATAAGATTATGCCAATAAATTCTTTGAAAATTTATTGGTGCCGAATTTTTTTAATATCTTTGCCATAATTTATTTTTTTTTTAATATATAAATGTTTAAAATTGTACTACGAACTAAAATATTATTGAATATCTATATAATAAATATAATGATAATAATGTGATATTTTTTTTTAATATATTAAAAAAATTTTATTTATTTAATTTTATATTTAAATATATTAAAGTGAATAAAAAGAAAAAAAAATTTATTTAATGTAAATTGCTATTTTTTGATTTTTTTTTTTCAAAACATGATTTTAATGAATATATACCCAAAGGACTTGCACGTGCACCGTAATCACGTGATGGTGAACGATCCACAGTTGGTAGTTCTGTTGTTAAACGTCTAGTTGAACGTCCAGGACTTCTTACACCAGAACTTAATGTGGATACTGGATTGTAATCGTCACGAGACATAATATTCCGCGATTAATTCGCGGTAAAATACATCCCTTTTATTAATTCTATTTTATTTATTTTATTATTATTATTATTGTTATTATTATTATTTATTATTATTGTTGAATACATGAAGTAAATATTATTCTATTCAAATTTATTTTGAAAAAATTTTAATGGTATAGGCATTTATTTTGATGAATTTTGCGTATTTGGTTTTGCTTGAATGTTGATATTTTCCTCCTTATTTATTATTAATATGTAGTTAAATATCTAAAAATAAAAATAAAATAAAAAAAAAATGTTTATAAATAAAATTTTAATTTTTGAAATGTATTTTAAAAATGTATAGAAAATTCTAATATATTTGATTTAGTGAGAATTTAATAAAGTCAATAATAACTAGTATAAAATTACTGAATTTATTTTTTGAAAAGAAGCTAATGAAAATAATTTTCTACATTAAACATACCGAAATTAATTAAATTTTATTGTCTTAAAGAAAATGGTGACTCCTGATTAACACCATGTGATTACACTATTAGAGTAAAACATTGTCGGCTGTCAGAATACAGAGTTATCGAAGTTACAGTTTTAATTAATATGAAATTTTTATTAACACTAGGAACAGTGTGGCGTACTGCACAATAAAGAAGAAGAACCGATTGTGCTCATTCGTTTTAATATTCAAAAATTTTATCTTCTATTCTTTTAACAAAGAAAGCAAATTAAAATTTTCAAAAAAAAAATTTTAAACATAAAAAATCTTTTTCCTCTATACTAATATAATGGGAAAATGAAAAGATTATATATGAAATAATATATTCTAGAATCTAGAACATTGGAATCTCATTAATATTATCATTTCATTATCAGACAAATTTTTGCCTTTAAAATAACATTGGTTTGTAATTAACCCAAATTTACCTTCAATATTCAATGTTGGGATAATTTAATTATAATCTTTGGTTTGTAAATTAATCCTGTGGTATTAATTGACCCAAATTTTAAAATTCTATTTTTAAATATCACAAAAAACCAAACAGAAAAATATATATAAATGTGTAGGTATACATAAGAAAGTAACAGGAAAATTAACAATCGATATTTGCATTTTATCGAAATTTTGCGAATATTTTCCTTTCATTGTTTCGAATTTCTATATATACATACATATAATATGTAACATGTGTATAAAAAAAAATATTTTAATTTTATAAATAATTTGACGAAAAATAATATTAAAATTCAATCGTATTAATTTACAATGAAACATAAAAGAAGATCGTTATTCTAGTATAAAATTTATGTAAATTGAAGGGTATAGAACGAGCTTATATATAGAGCATATGGGAAAATAACATAACATATGGGTGCATAAGTGCATCTGAAATATCATTGGAAATTTTATTCTTTCCTAGACACATTGTTAATAAAATAATAAACAAAAATAAAGCGTAACATTTTGTATACTGGACAATGAGCTTAGTACAAACATTTAGTATAACAAAATAAACATCAGTTAGTCAATAAACCTGG